AACATCACAAAATATGCAAAAAATCGGCCCGAAATTACAAACCAAGTTTTAAACGCAGATTTTTAAAGAACTAAGCCACAGGACTTTAAGGATATACATCTTTGAAATTGGATTCTTGAATAAAAAGTTATGGGCTTAGAACTGTTGGTTTTTGGTCACATTTCGGTAATGCTTTTTTTCAGAATTTAATTAGGTATTAATGTCGTAAAAATAACAACCCAATATTTTCAAACAAAATTTAAATGCAGATTTTTAGGGGCTTAAGCCACAAGACTGTAGAGATATACCAATTTGACATCAGATGACTGAAAGAAAAGTTATGGATTTAAAACTGCAGGTTTTTGGTCATTTTTCTGCACAGACGATTTTTTCGGAGATTATGAAAGGGGTAACATCACAAAATATGCAAAAAATCGGCCCGAAATTACAAACCAAGTTTTAAACGCAGATTTTTAAAGAACTAAGCCACAGGACTATAAATATATACCATTTTGAAATTGGATTCTTGAATAAAAAGTTATGGGCTTAGAACTGTTGGTTTTTGGTCACATTTCGGTAATGCTATTTTTCAGAATTTAATTAGGTATTAATGTCGTAAAAATAACAACCCAATATTTTCAAACAAAATTTAAATGCAGATTTTTAGGGGCTTAAGCCACAAGACTGTAGAGATATACCAATTTGACATCAGATGACTGAAAGAAAAGTTATGGATTTAAAACTGCAGGTTTTTGGTCATTTTTCTGCACAGACGAATTTTTCAGAGATTATGAAAGGGGTAACATCACAAAATATGCAAAAAATCGGCCCGAAATTACAAACCAAGTTTTAAACGCAGATTTTTAAAGAACTAAGCCACAGGACTTTAAGGATATACATCTTTGAAATTGGATTCTTGAATAAAAAGTTATGGGCTTAGAACTGTTGGTTTTTGGTCACATTTCGGTAATGCTATTTTTCAGAATTTAATTAGGTATTAATGTCGTAAAAATAACAACCCAATATTTTCAAACAAAATTTAAATGCAGATTTTTAGGGGCTTAAGCCACAAGACTGTAGAGATATACCAATTTGACATCTGATGACTGAAAGAAAAGTTATGGATTTAAAACTGCAGGTTTTTTGTAATTTTTCTGCACAGTCGAATTTTTCGGAGATTATGAAAGGGGTAACATCAAAACATATGCAAAAAATCGGCCCGAAATTACAAACCAAGTTTTAAACGCAGATTTTTAAAGAACTAAGCCACAGGACTATAAATATATACCATTTTGAAATTGGATTCTTGAATAAAAAGTTATGGGCTTAGAACTGTTGGTTTTTGGTCACATTTCGGTAATGCTATTTTTCAGAATTTAATTAGGTATTAATGTCGTAAAAATAACAACCCAATATTTTCAAACAAAATTTAAATGCAGATTTTTAGGGGCTTAAGCCACAAGATTGTAGAGATATACCAATTTGACATCAGATGACTGAAAGAAAAGTTATGGATTTAAAACTGCAGGTTTTTGGTCATTTTTCTGCACAGACGATTTTTTCGGAGATTATGAAAGGGGTAACATCACAAAATATGCAAAAAATCGGCCCGAAATTACAAACCAAGTTTTAAACGCAGATTTTTAAAGAACTAAGCCACAGGACTTTAAGGATATACATCTTTGAAATTGGATTCTTGAATAAAAAGTTATGGGCTTAGAACTGTTGGTTTTTGGTCACATTTCGGTAATGCTTTTTTTCAGAATTTAATTAGGTATTAATGTCGTAAAAATAACAACCCAATATTTTCAAACAAAATTTAAATGCAGATTTTTAGGGGCTTAAGCCACAAGACTGTAGAGATATACCAATTTGACATCAGATGACTGAAAGAAAAGTTATGGATTTAAAACTGCAGGTTTTTGGTCGTTTTTTTGCACAGACGATTTTTTCGGAGATTATGAAAGGGGTAACATCACAAAATATGCAAAAAATCGGCCCGAAATTACAAACCAAGTTTTAAACGCAGATTTTTAAAGAACTAAGCCACAGGACTTTAAGGATATACATCTTTGAAATTGGATTCTTGAATAAAAAGTTATGGGCTTAGAACTGTTGGTTTTTGGTCACATTTCGGTAATGCTTTTTTTCAGAATTTAATTAGGTATTAATGTCGTAAAAATAACAACCCAATATTTTCAAACAAAATTTAAACGCAGATTTTTAGGGGCTTAAGCCACAAGATTGTAGAGATATACCAATTTGACATCAGATGACTGAAAGAAAAGTTATGGATTTAAAACTGCAGGTTTTTGGTCATTTTTCTGCACAGACGAATTTTTCGGAGATTATGAAAGGGGTAACATCACAAAATATGCAAAAAATCGGCCCGAAATTACAAACAAAGTTTTAAACGCAGATTTTTAAAGAACTAAGCCACAGGACTTTAAGGATATACATCTTTGAAATTGGATTCTTGAATAAAAAGTTATGGGCTTAGAACTGTTGGTTTTTGGTCACATTTCGGTAATGCTTTTTTTCAGAATTTAATTAGGTATTAATGTCGTAAAAATAACAACCCAATATTTTCAAACCAAATTTAAATGCAGATTTTTAGGGGCTTAAGCCACAAGACTGTAGAGATATACCAATTTGACATCAGATGACTGAAAGAAAAGTTATGGATTTAAAACTGCAGGTTTTTGGTCGTTTTTTTGCACAGACGATTTTTTCGGAGATTATGAAAGGGGTAACATCACAAAATATGCAAAAAATCGGCCCGAAATTACAAACCAAGTTTTAAACGCAGATTTTTAAAGAACTAAGCCACAGGACTATAAATATATACCATTTTGAAATTGGATTCTTGAATAAAAAGTTATGGGCTTAGAACTGTTGGTTTTTGGTCACATTTCGGTAATGCTATTTTTCAGAATTTAATTAGGTATTAATGTCGTAAAAATAACAACCCAATATTTTCAAACAAAATTTAAATGCAGATTTTTAGGGGCTTAAGCCACAAGACTGTAGAGATATACCAATTTGACATCAGATGACTGAAAGAAAAGTTATGGATTTAAAACTGCAGGTTTTTGGTCGTTTTTTTGCACAGACGATTTTTTCGGAGATTATGAAAGGGGTAACATCACAAAATATGCAAAAAATCGGCCCGAAATTACAAACCAAGTTTTAAACGCAGATTTTTAAAGAACTAAGCCACAGGACTTTAAGGATATACATCTTTGAAATTGGATTCTTGAATAAAAAGTTATGGGCTTAGAACTGTTGGTTTTTGGTCACATTTCGGTAATGCTTTTTTTCAGAATTTAATTAGGTATTAATGTCGTAAAAATAACAACCCAATATTTTCAAACAAAATTTAAACGCAGATTTTTAGGGGCTTAAGCCACAAGATTGTAGAGATATACCAATTTGACATCAGATGACTGAAAGAAAAGTTATGGATTTAAAACTGCAGGTTTTTGGTCATTTTTCTGCACAGACGAATTTTTCGGAGATTATGAAAGGGGTAACATCACAAAATATGCAAAAAATCGGCCCGAAATTACAAACAAAGTTTTAAACGCAGATTTTTAAAGAACTAAGCCACAGGACTTTAAGGATATACATCTTTGAAATTGGATTCTTGAATAAAAAGTTATGGGCTTAGAACTGTTGGTTTTTGGTCACATTTCGGTAATGCTTTTTTCAGAATTTAATTAGGTATTAATGTCGTAAAAATAACAACCCAATATTTTCAAACAAAATTTAAATGCAGATTTTTAGGGGCTTAAGCCACAAGACTGTAGAGATATACCAATTTGACATCAGATGACTGAAAGAAAAGTTATGGATTTAAAACTGCAGGTTTTTGGTCGTTTTTTTGCACAGACGATTTTTTCGGAGATTATGAAAGGGGTAACATCACAAAATATGCAAAAAATCGGCCCGAAATTACAAACCAAGTTTTAAACGCAGATTTTTAAAGAACTAAGCCACAGGACTATAAATATATACCATTTTGAAATTGGATTCTTGAATAAAAAGTTATGGGCTTAGAACTGTTGGTTTTTGGTCACATTTCGGTAATGCTATTTTTCAAAATAACAACCCAATATTTTCAAACAAAATTTAAATGCAGATTTTTAGGGGCTTAAGCCACAAGACTGTAGAGATATACCAATTTGACATCAGATGACTGAAAGAAAAGTTATGGGTTTAAAACTGCAGGTTTTTGGTCATTTTTCTGCACAGACGATTTTTTCGGAGATTATGAAAGGGGTAACATCACAAAATATGCAAAAAATCGGCCCGAAATTACAAACCAAGTTTTAAACGCAGATTTTTAAAGAACTAAGCCACAGGACTATAAATATATACCATTTTAAAATTGGATGCTTGAATAAAAAGTTGTGGGCTTAGAACTGTGGGTTTCTGGTCACATTTCTGTAATGCTATTTTTCGAAAAATAATTATGAAGTTATATCCTAGCTTGTAGCTTAAGCCTCTACAAAACTGCATTTTAAATTTGTTTGAAAATATTGGGACGTTAAATTTAAAAAATTTTCAAAACATTTCTTATCATTTTTCTCAGTCTCAAATTCAGAGTTCAGATACCAGGCAAACTTAATCCGTTGCTAGTTATAGCTGGTAACTCGAAACATAATTCCACAGGAAAACTACAGTAGGCTGAATACAAAGCCCCGCCCCCCAGTTGGACATGCAGCCAGATCGGCATAAAAATGTCGTTTTAAAAGACACCCAAAGGGGTTGCCGGATCTCCAATCAAATAAATTATGATTTATTTTTATTTTTCGTTTAATTTTTCCTTTAATAGCCGCGAACCAACGCAATCGCACCTCAGAAAATCAAGAGTGAAAGTAATTCGCAATCAGCAGAGCGCGATTAACTCAGATTCTCACCGCTTTCCCACGACGAAAAGCACTGCGATCGTTTTAAAATAAACACACATATAAAGTTGTATTTTGTAAATAGATTATAAGTTCCCAACTCGTATGATAAAGTGGTCTTCGTTGCCTCTTCGGGCTGTTTAAAAAACTTTTCTCTGAGTTCAGTTTGTCACAGAACGTCGAACGAAGCACAAGTACTCGTTGGTTTCAAAATACTGAAATAAAACGAAACATTATCAGAAAATATAAGCCAAATACAGGTGGGTGAAGATATATTTTTTGAAACTTGTGAGTTAAGCAGGAGCCAAATGGCATAGGTTCTCGGCGAGTTTGAAAATAATATTATTTTTAATACAAATTAAAAAAGTATCAAGTGATTTAGATTTGAATTATATAATTAACGTTACCACAATTGGCTAAAAATGTCAACTAAAGTGATGCACTTCTGAGTAATTGGACTTTTACCAATTTTATACAGAATAGAAACTGAAAGAGTCATTCAAGGGTCATGATCAAAAAATATTTAACTTGTAGCTAAAGAGTGTCACGTTAATAAAATCGTGTATATTTCTGTATATCTATACGTAATGTTCGAACATCGAAAACAAAAGTATTTACAAAATTTATAGACGAATTTTTCGATTGAAACCAGAAATCATTAACTTTGTCACACACCTTGGCATGGATTTTAAGTATGAGCAGTGGCAGTAGGAAAAGCAAGTCCATTAACAGATTTTTACATCTGTTTCGAGAAAAATTCTCTCTTGATTTTTAAAATCCAATTCATTTTCTCGATCTGTCGCTCTCTATAAGTGACAAAGCGAAACTATTTTTTTCGTCGAATCGAGGAAAATAAAGAAAACAGCAACAGAGCCAAAAAACATGATACAAATCCGTTGGCCAGAAATAGCGCCACCCACCTTAAGTTTTGAAATTACATTTTTAAAAAGATAGCGATGAGCCATGGCGTGCAGTTCTCTTTGTTTTCAGAACGACATGGAGAAGACAACGCGGCCGAAGAGAAACCGACGGCACAGCAGGTTGGATATTTTTGGAAATAGCTGAGGACTTACCTGGTTTGATTTTTTACATTGTTCTTGTGTACCCTTTCAGACGCGCCTGGCCACCGGAGGACGAGCTGCAGCCACCAACGCGAGCCATCAAACGCTTGTTTACGCCCGACATCAAGAGGATGCTTAAGGATTGGCTGATCCGTCGCCGGGAGAATCCGTATCCCAGCAGGGAGGAGAAGAAGCTGCTTGCTGCTGAGACTGGACTGACTTACACCCAGATCTGCAATTGGTTCGCGAACTGGCGCAGAAAGCTGAAGAACTCAGAGCGAGAGAAGGCGAAGAAGTCCTGGGGTCATTTGATCAAGAACTACAACCATAATGCGAGGGGAAACGTTGAGCAGTTCAGCATCTCGTCGGAGGATAGTATTTGGGAGGAGGAGATGCGCTCGTGTCCTGCAGAGGATGACGAAGGCGATGAGGATGATGAGTTTTCCAGCCACAGCACCGCCAGCGATGGCAATGCCAATAATGACTCCACAACCCCGTACCAGCCGAATTTCTATGTGGAATCTGCGGACTTGCCCGATCGGATACAAATGTTGCCCACTGTGCAGATTAGCAGGACCAAGTACAAGCACCAGATGATGGAGAAGTATCTACGGGATACTTCCACGGCCGATGAAGTCATTCAACCGGCTGCTCAACTCAACAAGTGGCTGGAAAGTGCTGCTAAATTCACGCCGGACAGAAATAACTATCACATTGAGTGGAATACGAGCAGGTAAATACGGCCTGACGCTGACGCGTTTTGCCGTGATGGATAAATCCTCTTAATTTTAGGCAGAAAAGCAGCAGTTGCGGCCAATCCCATAGCCAAGTGATCTTCTCGACCGATGCCACGGCGGTGGCTCTCGGTGATCGCTGGATCCTCCATCACAGGGACGAACTGGACGCCGCGGAGGCCTTGGCTAACCTCGCCTTTAACTGTAGGCAGCGCTGGCAACACTCCACGATCAGCTCCTAGGAAGCCGAAGCCGGACCACCGAAGACTCCATGGTGGACAACTGACGCCATCATTCCAGCAGAAGTTTAAGGGCCCGTTGGCTTCTTTTGGTTTTCATTTTTTAACTTATTTTTTAATACTTAAATTAAGAAACTTTTGAATAAATTTTAGATAGCACTTTTAAATCGGTCAAACATACATGAAAGTGAAAGCCAGATTGCGCCAAATAGTCAACAAATTTTTAGCAGCTAGTTTAGTGTGAAAGACAACAATTATCTTGCTTTTAAACAGACTTGGTTTCATTTCGACGTCTCCTCCGGCGTAGTCTCCTTGGTTTCACCTTTACTCTTGGCGTGGACATCAAGGATCTGAACCAAGCTGTTCTGATGCGCCTGCAATTGCTGGACGAGGTGACCAGCTGCCTGGTTGATGGTCTGAACGAGTTGCGCCTGCACCGCCTGCAGGCCGGGCATCTGGGCGTAGGTCATCAGCTCGTTCCTGCTGAGGAGGGTCTCCTCCACGATGCCTCCCAGCAGGACCATTTGCGGTACCTTCCGGGTGATCCTCAGCAAGCTACCGATCCTTTGATGGTCAGGAGAGAAGACGATGCAGTGATTGGAGTGGAAAAGTGGCAGGATGGCTTCGTAGTGAGTGCCCTCCACCGCTTGGCCGATGATCTTGCGGCCATAGGACTTGAGGTGCAGGTTCTGCTTGTGCAGTTGGACACGAACGCGAAAGATCTCGTCGGCGGTGATGGAGTTCAGGTGAAAGATGGCCACCAGCCGGGAGTGGTCCAGCCAGTTGCGCACCTCGCGTGCAATGATCTCGTTGTAGGGGTTCTCAATCTGCTGCTGCGTACGCTCCGCACGTGACTTAAAGCAGCTTCTCGCTTTTGGGGGCTCTGGGTACTTTGGATGGGTAACGGCGACGACGCGGGCACGTTCGTAGTGGGGCTCCTTGGGGCGCTGGATGTTAATCTTACCCCTGAAGCGGACGAACTGCAGCGCCGGAGTGCTGCTTCTAGTCAGGGGAAGGACTGGAACCATTCAAGAATGCATAAATCAGTGAACGTGCATGTAGTTACACAACAAAAGAAAACAGAATATGAATTAAAAACGGGGCAACTCACATTTTTGTATTAGACTCATTATGCCGTAATGCTCCTATTTCTATTTTCGACAGATGTTTTCCCGGTTCGTTTCGCCGGTTCCGTTTGACAATCGAACCAGCTCGATCAAACACGCAACTCAGAGGTGGAAAAACATCAATTCCAAAACCGATGTTATCGACGCTTTCAAAACATCGGTTTTACCGATGTTTGGCAAGGCAACATCGATGTTTTTCCATCTCTACTCTGCTTTCCCTCTGCCGCAGCGCTGCTCACTAATCATCGTTTCCTAACATAAATGTTAGGAAAACGACGAGTTAACATAGCCGTTACAAAATCCACGATTTTCAATTTAGAACTTTGAACTAAACTGATCATCGTCGAGGACAGATCTGGAGATGCACCAATATAAATATTTATAGAATATCCGGAATGAAATTGCGAATTGCCCTTTTATCACGGCTTAAGCTAGCAGGCAAATTGTTGTACGGTTTCTGAAAAGTAGGTTGTATTAATATAGCTGAATGTGTTGTGTAAAAAAATTCAGATGAAAGTTTAGTCGAGCCGGGATCAATAAGAAAGCGAGAACGTTTAATTGTTTGGGACCGACAACTTAAAAAAACGCACTATTGGGGGAAATCTATAAAGATTTAAATAAACTTCACCCTGTTCGTGTAATACTGCTGGTGGTCAGGTGCTACGTATTTCTGATTATGGATTTAATTTTTTTTAGCCACTTTAACAATACTTCAAATCGAATATTTGGAGGTTCCTTCAGATGTTTTTAATACTTTTAAATTCAGACGTAATTTTATAAATCAACCTATCCCCTGGATCTTCTAATATTTTCTGACCTGGGTCAAAGATTGAGAACCAAGAACACCCAAAACGACTGCATAGGTATAGAATTTATTTAATTACATTTATAACATTAACATCTATATATATAATGTATATATGTATGTATAAGTTGCATTTCGCTATGGGGTTCGATTTGGTTTTACGGGACAAAAAATCTATAAAATCTGGGAGTGGCGGAAATTAAAACGAAACCAAGTGTAAGAAATAATTGTAATTTAATCGGTTTCTTCAAAGTAACTTAGGAAATAACTAAAAAGTCTCTTAAAACTTACAACTTATACATTAACATATGTTTAACAGCGCTTCATCTGTTTCAACTTGAAAAATGTGTTCTTTTTACTTGTTTTCTTCTATTTTTAATTTTTTCTGTATCGGTTTATGTTTCTGGGCGACCTCTTGCAGATCTGATCTCTTGTGTTCTCGTATCGTTAATTGTGTTATATAATGTACAGTTTCTCTTTAGTTTAGTTTTAAAACATACAACTAAATACGCGCTAAACACTAATTAAACTGTATTTACATTTCATACTTGTTAGTCTAAATAATTTAAATATTTTACAGTTTCTTTTTCTTTTACTCGAGTTTTATCTTTTTTCTTTTTTTTTTTGTATTATTTTGTCGGTCACATAATTTACAAGTGGTTGTGAAAACTTACGTTTAAGTTAAAGGAGTGTACAGAGAGGGTACTACATATATAGGTTATTGTATCATATTGTGAGGGTATGTTTATGTTTCTTGTAGGGTGTCAGCATAATGGTATAAGGGGCCCTGAAACTACCCAACATTCTACAAAGTTTCGCGCGCAAAAACTAACAATTGGGTGGAGATCGGAACGCCTTTAGTTAGATTTAGACCAGTGATTTTCGGCTTTAGTTTTGTGGCAGTGGTGGTTAAAAAATAAAAAATAAGACAAGGTAGTCAGAAACAGAAGATCGGAGACAACAAACAAAAAGACCAACAGCGTTGAGTCGGAAGCCCTATCTTTGCAGGAAATTTTGAGAGAATGGAACTCTGGTGCAGAGCGAAAGTTACAACACGAAACGAAGCGAAACGTGTCTAAGCTTTAAAGTATTTGGCTTAAAATATTGATTATTATTAAATACGCGTCTAGATAATGTAATGCATAATGTATACGTGTGTATGTAATCGTAGGAAAAGCCTCTGGGCGTATCACTAAACCTAATTGTGCTTGACAGCATGGGCGACACCCCACACTCATATGAAGTTCTTTGGGTCTATGTGAGGCCCCGTTTTCTATATATTTTTATAGGCAGGCATTCCATAGAGCCAAGGAACCGATTGTTTGAAAATTAAACGGTTGGTTGTTCGGAGGCGAAAACTTTGTATAACGCGGAGCAGTGACTTTCCCACCGAGCTAGTCGAAAGTTATTAACCAATCAAAACTTAATCGGGTTAGGAATATGATCGGATATCAATATTATGTATGGGTAGTAGTATGCATAGTACAGTAAACAGTTAATATGTTTTTAAGCTTTTTTTAACATTTCTTTCAATGTGTATGTGTAGATTTTTTCATGTTTTACGTGTTTTTTTCATTTTAAATTAAGCAAAAATAAAACTTTCTTTCTTGAGATCAAACTTAACGATACTTTGCAAGCTTTTGTTAAAGGGTTTAAATTAGGGAGAGTTAAATTATTCATTCAGACAAATATTTATCGGTTTGCTTCTGGTTTTAAAGTGTCGGGATCTGAAGGGATTTATTTCGCTTTGTTTGAGTCTCTTAGGGATCTCGTTTTAGATGTGAGCTTGGCCTCAATGTTCTTTTGCTTTCCTTGCATTTATTTATTCAATAAAGTTAGCATGTTACTGCTTCTTTAAGTTATTTTTGTTTTGTTTTACTTTGCTTTTTTAAACTTTTGCTTGTTTAATCGCTATTTAAAATTACTTAAAATACTAGAAGAGCGTAACTTTTTTATGTTTGTTTGTTTCTTTTTCATTTTAGTAGTTGTATTTGCCTGTAGAGTCTAACATCCGGTTTTAATTTAGGGCGTCACTTCCGTTGGGTTTTTTATTTTCCAGTTATTGGCCTGTTCTGTGATTAGACGGTGGCTATGACAATCAGAAGGTGCGCCAACTCGGCCACGCGATTCTTGAGATCTGGAGCAGCACGGTCCAGGTTCTCGTTAGCAAAATCGCAAGCCGGAAAGATGTGCACCACATAGGCCGCCTGCTCACTGCCCGGAATAGGTATGTTCACAATGCCGGCGGCCATTTTTTGTTGTAGGTATGTGATGAATCCGGTCTGGAGATTCCTCGAATGCTGCAGCACATCGGCGTGATCTCTTCCGCATGGCAAGGCCAAAAGCATGCAATGCTCTTTGTCCACCTGCAGATTTCAAGGGATAGTATTAGATTATATTAGGTATCCAAAATTATATATCATGAAATCGTATTATCTTCTAACATACCTGCATCTTCTTGGCGACTCCTTCCAGCTGTGTCTGCTCCAGTCGCATTCTCTGCGCAATCCTCAGCAACGGCGTGTTGGTCTCCACCAAACTTGGAAGCGAGGCTCTTGCCACATTCGGATTTCCGTGCACAAAGTGCATCTGGACGGCGGCCTGGTCGGTTTTCAGGGCCAGTAAACCCTGCCACATCACTGGATAGCGTTGCAGCAGTGTGACCAGCGAATCACCCGGTGGCGGAGCCATGGCTGGCGGTACTTGATGGGCGGCCAGCTCCATGCCAGCGTGTAGAGCAGGTGGTAGATGATCCTGCTGTTGTTTAACTGCAATTGCAAAGGAAGAACATTCGTTAGCTATGAGGTTATAATGTTATGGTTTAAAGCCACTTGACACTCACCGACAGCTGCGATCATGGACAAGCGGTCCATCTCATCAAGCTGAATTTCCATTGCCTTGCCTGAGTGATGGTGGCTTCCCGACTGCACGCTGCCATCGCGTCCGATGAACGGACTCCCGGTGGAGACGGCAGGCATTTGTGGTGGGACTACCACGGTAATTGATGCAGTCGGCCGATGGGCTGGCGGTGGTTCCAGCTGTAAGCCACCACCCTCATAGAAGCCTCTTGAAGCTATTTCGCTGAAATGGGCTGGTGGAATTCGCGCGTTGTGCACATAGACCTGCGCCATTTGCGGTGAGTCTGTGAAGGAAAAGGATTTGGTTGACTTGCTGTTAAACGACATAAGATTTTTAGCTCTTACCAGCTGCGGTGCGATCCTGAGGACTTTGCAAGCTGTGTGGCACTGCGATGGTCCTTGGAGGTCCACTGCCAGGGCGTCGTAACTCTAACGGCGGACTGTTGCTAATCTTGTCTTCGTAGTCTCCACCTCGCATTAAATGATGCTGATAGAGCATAAAGTCCCTGGATGCAGCTACTCCTCTATACGTGGAATCATTCTAAAAAAAGATAATAGACAACAAATTAATTGATTAACCAAAGTTTAATTTAAATGTTTATTTCTATATGGCTGCAGACTGGGAATTAATTTGGTTACGCTACTTGAAAGCTCCGCAAGTAAAACTTGAGCATTACCGGTGTTATAGGCGATGCCTGCTGATGAGCTGGAGGCGGACTCTGGGTACGCCGTCCACTGACATAAGCGCCCAAGTCATGCTGCATCCATAGTTAGCAGTTTGAATAGTAAAATTAGTTATTGGTTAGTAAATGAAAAAGAGTTTAATTCCTAAAAGCTTAGATCTTAAAACAAAGTTAACATAAAAAAAACAACTAAAAAATAAATTTTAAATTATATGCTTTAGAAAAACTGCTAGTCAAATGAAGTACAATTTGTATAACTGCTCAAGACTTACCAGACTGGAATCGAAGGGCGGCACTCCGGCCATTCCGGGTGGTAAGACCAATGGCGATACCCTCGGCTGGCCCTGTGGACTGATGTTCGGAATGGCTGTGCGCATCCCTGAAAAGATATGGAAGTTACCTAGGATATTGGGTATGCTGTAAGGCATCGTTAACTTACCAACTGCTGCTGCGGAGGAGTTTACCTGCTGCTGGACGGATTTCAGCACTGCAGCTGACACCGGCGGTGGACTGCCCACACTTCCCGGTATGATCTGTCCAGCCTGTAGGCTGTGCACAACGGGGTTCTGCTTACCGGGCGGCGGCGAAGAAGTCAATTGATGCTGATGTGGCTGCAGATGAGCTGGCGGTTTCTGCTGCAATATCATTCCAGGATGGGTGGGCAATATCATGCCGTGTGGAGCCAGTTGCACCGGAACTCCCTTCTGCTGATTGGCTTGCTTAAACAGCTGTTGTTGTTGCTGCACGGCTGTAGACGAAGTTGGTGGCAAAACAGAAGTTGCGTAGCCAAAGTTGGGCTTGCCCAGCTGCATGTGAGCTCCTGCTGACGAAGTGGGCTGTGGTTGTTGCTGCTGCTGCGGTTGGGTCACCACCGAAGTCTTGGAGCTTACCACATGCAATATCTGCGGTGCCGCTGCTGAAGTTGCCTGCTTGATTACCAGAGTTTGTTGCTGTTGCTGCTGCTGCTGCTGAGGATTTACGTTGGCTCCTGGCCCCAACTGTTGCTGCTGACCCGGAAGCCTCGGTGAGTGTGCTGCTGGGGGCGGCACATTGACCAGCAGATGTTGTTGCTGCTGTAGGTGACGTGCAATGATCTGGGGCTGCAATAGTTGTTGATTTACCGCGGCGTCTGCGAGCAACATGTGACCTGAATGTGATTGCTGTTGCTGCTGCGGGGGCTGGGCCTGGGCCTGGGGTACCGGTTGCTTTGTGGGCGTCATTTGCTGCTGAAGATTCTTTTCTCTGTTCAGCACGTGAGCCTTGAGTGGTTGAGGTGGCCGCACATTGCTGTGGTGCGCGTGCTGCAGGACAGTGGGCAGGGGATTCTGCTGCAATACGATAGGTTGTTTTGGCGGAGCCACCATCTGTGGCATTTGTTGCTGCTGAACCACCAACGGACTGGGGTTTCCTTTCACCAGTACACTCACAGGCTTGTTGAGCAGAGCAGCTGCTGCCGCGGACTCGAGCTGCACGGACTGCACGGGTTTTCCCAAAGCTGTAATCGGGGTCGGTGCACTGGATGCAATCACAGTGGAACTAATCTGCTGATTTGCTTGCTGCTGATTCTGCGGCTGCTGCTGCTGCAGCTGGGAGGGAGGAGCAGGTGAGCCAGCTTCATTGCTGCTGTTGGCAGGAGCAGCAGCGGTAGCTGCTGGAAGATTGCCCTCTTTGCCCTGGGGCATTCCAGCGGTAATGACTCCAGTGACAGGGTCAACTAGAGCCTTGCTGACCGCATCCGCAGCCCCACCGGTGATCTTTTGGGTAGCAGGAGCGGCTGTCTGATGCATTGGCAGACCCCCGCTGGGAATGGACGAGTTGATAGCCTGATAGGATTCAATCTCCGCTGCCGCAATGGCCTTCTTTTTAGGATGTTGTGGCATTGTAGGCTTGGGAGCGGCCATTACTGGCATAGGTACAGGAACGGGAACGGTGACGCTCACAGGTGTAGGAGCAGCTGTAGCCATGGCTTGAACTGGTTCAACATCTTTATTATCCAACGGTGGCATATGGGGCTGCACTTGAGCTTGATCAGCGAGTGGCTGGAGTACAGATGTGGGAGTAGATGGAGCAGTAATTTGATTTGGAGCGATTACCTCCTCCATCAAGCTCGCTGGCGGTTCGCCAATGGTCTTCCGGTCCTTGGATCGCCTCGGGCGCCCCACTGCATTGGCGGGATGTACTGCATCTGTCTTCCTGGCCTGCGCATTTCTGCCAGAGCGTCGTGGTGGAGTTTGGGCGCCTTTCGGCAACTGTTGTCCTACTCCAGTTGGTGTGTTGGTATTTCGCACCACGTCCTCGATAATATCATCCACTGTGCTGCGATCCTCCTTCTCCTGCAGACGGCGTGACTTGCGAGTGTTGGAGTTGGAGTCGGAGTTGTCTCCTCCAATTGGATCGATTTGTGCAGCAAGTTCTGGTTGATTTTGATGTTGATGCATAGGCTGCTCCATTTCACTGCTGTTCTTAATCGAAGGTTGCGTTTTGTTGATGGTGAGAATGAGACGTGGTCTTTGGTCGTCTGCAGGTGGCGCAACACTTGAGTTAGCCTTTCCTTTGGGCTCTTCACCCGCGTCCTCATGAAATTCATAGATATCCTGACTGGTTCCTTGACTTGCGGCTTGGTGTTGGACTTGCGCCTGAGTCAGAGCCTGATTTCTGGCCTTCTTTTCGGCAGCTGTGAGCACAGGATTAGGAGGAGTGGGAACTGCTGGTTGCGTAGCCGTTGGTGTTGGTACTGTAACCATTTCCAGTGCCTTTCGCTGAATATCAAGCTGCTGCTGCTCGAGTTGATGTTGCTGTAATAGCAGATTCCTCGGAGGACGTCCTTTCCTGCCTCTGGTCACAGGAGCTGTAACTGGTTTTCTCAGCCTGGTTTGCACTCCATTATCACCTGGCTGCAATACCAGTCCCGAATCCGCTCCAGGGGCTGCTATTACTGAGTTTAGAGGGAAGCCTCCTTGCTTCTTTGCTCCCCTCGGTTGTCGTCCTCGCTTGGCGGTACCTCCTCTTCCCGGTGGTCTACCCACAGTGGGTGTGGCTGGCTTTGATGGAGGCAATTGTCTGGTCTCTGTCTCATCCTCTGTGTCGTGATCGTTTGAGCTGTTTACACTCACAGAAGAAGGAGTAGGAAGGGAAGCTTCCTGGGCAATATAATTATCCACAGGCTGCGAATTGGGGATAGGAGCCGGTGCAACTGTTTGTATATCCACTGGGCGCTTTTCGTCTTTACTAGGCAGTGGAGTGTCTAGCTTCTTAATCACACTGTCAATATTCACCTCCTTAGCTGACCAGTAATCGCTGTCTACTTCCTTGGAATCCTGTTCGATAAGCTCATCCTGCTTGGGCTGCGAGATCTTGATCAGATTCTCCTCCGTAAGCAGGGAGGATCCCGTCTTCGGTGATTGTACGGCCGAACTGGTGGTGGGAGTGGGTGTACGAATTACCGAAACACTTTCCGATGTTTTGAGGACTGTCATAGATGGTGACGGTTCCATCTGACCAGAAGCTGGACTTTCCTTGCACTGGCTTGTGGGACAGTGAATGGCATTTGCTGTGGAAGCTGGTGGTGATACCACTTGATTTGGTGGAGTTACAATATGCTGTTGGACAATTAACTTTGGGGCATTCTGGATCACATTGAGTGGCGTTTGATGAGGCAGATTGCCTCCTGGCGAAGACAACTGTTGCTGCTGATGGTGAGCTAATTGTGGTGGTGGTTGCTGTTGCGGTTGCGGTTGTTGCTGTTGCTGTGGGTGTAGCTGTGCTTGGGGTCCAACTCTTGTCAAAATTGTTGCAGTCGGCACTTGGCCAATTTGTCCCAAAGTATTTGTTTTGCAGGGTGGACTGCTTGACAGTTGTTGCGGATGTTGCTGCTGATGCACACCTCGTGGTGGAAGCTGCGCATGATGTTGCTGTGATGCAAACATTGACGGAGAAGATCCCATGTGGGTGGCTCCTTGGGGCGACGTTTGCTGCAGGGGAGCATTGATCTGTTGTTGCACTTTTTGTATTTGCTGCAATTGCTGCTGTTGAGTCTGATGTTGTTGATTCAACTGCTGCTGTGCCTGATGTTGCTGTTGTGCCTGATGCTGTTGATTCAACTGTTGCTGAGCTTGATGCTGTTTTTGAGCCTGATGTTGTTGAGCCTGATGCTGCTGGTTCAAATGTTGCTGTTGGGCCTGATGTTGCTGCTGTGCTTGATGGTGCTGCTGAGCCTGATGTTGCTGGTTCAATTGTTGCTGTGCCTGATGCTGCTGTTGCATTTGATGTTGTTGACCTGGCGTCAATTGTTGCGACTGACCATGCAGTTGTTGCTGCTGCATATGCTGTTGTTGCTGTCGCTGCATTATCTGCTGATGCATGAACTGCTGCATGTGCTGATGTTGCTGGTGTGCAGACATCTTGGCCATCATCTGCGGCGAATGTTGCTGCTGCTGGGCCTGATGATGTTGCTGCTGGGCATTTACATGGAGACTCTTGTGAGGCGGCAGGGAGCCCAAAGGAGGAGAGCTGGCCACATGTGACTGAGTGGCCTGTTGTGGCTGCACAGTGACCACTTTGCTGATGATCGTTGGATGATGTGGCACTGGTACTGGTATCGCTGGCATTTTTTGCAGGGGAATTGCCAATAGTTGCGGTGACGTTTGCAACTCAGTTGTGGATTTGGGCGACTGTTGCTGTGGTACCTGCTGTTGTTGTTGCTGTTGTGTTCTGGGCTGGTAACTGTTTGGTTTGTTGGTTGTAGGTGAGTTGTTGGCGGCCACCACTCTCGTTGTGGGACTTGCCAAAGGACTCATGCTGCTACCTTGCGGGCTGGTCATCAATGCATGTTGCTGCTGTGTCTGTTGAACCTGTTGCTGAGGTAACGGTTGAGTTACAACAGGTCGACCAACGGGACTCAGCTGACCGACCAGGCGATTTTGGCCTCCACCACGTCCTGGTGAAAGGATCGGACTGTGGGGAGATGGAGCTCTGATCGCAACCATGTAAGCTCCAGGCTGCTGGGAATGATGGGACTGCTGTTGCTGATGCGGAGACAACACCATTTGGGGCACCACAAAGTGGGGTGTCGGCTCTGGTATGGATATCGTTGGTGGTTGCATAATCAAGGATTGCGTCCGCAGTGTTTGATGTGGTGTAAGCGGAGACTGCTTGGGAGTCGAAGCTTGTGGCATAATATTCTGACTGGGAGTTGGACTTCCAAATGAGAGGGAAGCTGAAGTTGAAGCTGTTGTAGAAGCGGTGCTGGAGCTGGAGCAGTTGCTCATCACATTGGAAAGATCCAGGTTGATGACGGGTGTTGGATTTATCCCGCTTCCAGCTGAATGCGGAGCAGGTAACACGGTGTGCACAGGCTGCACCAAAGGTTGTTGAAGCTTACTGATAGTTGGTGGTTCAATCTTCACGGGCGTGGCCGGCTGTGGCTTCTGTGGCTCCAAGGATGACAACTTGGTAATCACCGAAAGTTGGGGTGCGGTGTCCTTGCTTGCCTTGGGTTTAGACTCCACCTGAGGCATGTCCACCTTTGGCGGTTCTCTCACAGAGCTATTGCTGATGGACTTCTCCGGCGACGAGGAGCTCTGAACAGTTTCATCAATCTTTAGACTAGGTCCACTGCTATCCGCCTCGTCGGGATTTTCTTCCGTGTCTGTATCAATTTGCAGATCTCTCTCTGATTGCGGAGTATCAGCCTTGATGTCCATCATATCCTCGTGCCGCAAACTTTGTACCGCCTTGTTGATTTCATCGGGGTCCAAGACCCCAACGACTGGTTCAGATTCCGGTTCAGCTTCGGGCTCTGGTTGTCGCTCAGGTTCCACTTCTGGTTCCTCCAAGTTGGCTGCAGGCTCCACAGCTGCCTCTATGGCCTTGGCGGCCAAGGCCGCCTCTTCATCGGGTTCTGCTACCACTAGAGCGGGAGTTTCCATCTCATTTACTGAATTCATTTCATCCATGCCATCAAGTGAGTAATCCGCAGTGGAGGAAGTGCCAAAACTTTCACCCAGGAGAGCGGATACGGCACTCTCCGTCTCCTCCTGCGAAATAGTCACTCGAGACTTGGTATCCTCCAACTTATCCAAAGGTTTAGCCGCACCTGAAGGCGATGCCACCGGTATTTTGGGCTCATCTGCCAATGTATCGAGAAGAGATGATGAATTAAACTCTACTGAGATAGATTGCACGGCTGATTCACTAATTCTGTCATCCAGCTGGCCATCGAAACCGGGTATAAAGATCTCCTTTTTCTTGTTTTGAGCTGATGCGCTGGTAGGCGAAGTTTCAACACCTTCTGCTGCTCCACTAGCTCCTGCTGCCGCACTGGCTCCTGCTGCTATCGAAGATGTGGGCGTTGTGGCCAAAGCAGAGGAGGTACTCACACCAGCTCCACTGCTCACCGGAGTCTCTGCAGACTGAGTGGACAGCATGGAACTGTTGGCTATAGTTGGAGTTTTAGGTATTGGACTTATCAGGCGTGGCTTCTCCCGCGAAGGAGTCAGGCTATCACTTCCAGATCTCGTGGGTGTTGTTGGTTTCGGCTTTGGAGTAGGCAAAACATCTTCGTCATCGTCGCCTATTAGGCAAGGCAAGCTTGGAGATGGTTTGCAAAGTGGTGGCGATGAAGCATGCTTGGCGTCCATCTGATCGTCTGCATGCTTGCTAGCAGCTTGAACGTTGACAGTCAGCTTTCCAGGAGTAGGAGGTGCGGATGAAGTAGGAGCCACACTTCCCAAGGATTCCCTGCGATGCTGCTGTTGCAGCAATTTCTCCTGCTTTTCCTCTTTGGATCGCTTCTTCTTCTTCTTTTTGTCCTTGCTCTTATGCTGCTCTGGCTGCTCCGGTTTGGTACCCTGTTTAACCATCTCCACCGAATTGTTGTCTTCGTTGTCAGAGAAACGAAACACATCTGCCATATCGGATCTGTAAGTGGTGGCTGTTGAGGGAGTTGGTTCATCTGGCATCGTCTTGCTATCAAAGTCAATCATTAGTTGTGCCTCTAGAGCTCTTCCTGCTTCATCCATATCCACACTGTTATCATCCTCCATTTTAGTTGCAGCCTTGATGGAATGTTGCTGTGCTTGATGTTGTTGCTCTCGTTGAGATTTCTCGCGCCGCTTCTTCTCGCGCTTCTCCTTCCGGTGTCTCTCTCTATCGGCATGGGAAGATGAGCAAGTGCTTACCGCCTGGCGACTTCTTTCCGGCTGCTGTGGTTGCTGAAGCTCTTCCTCCTGCACAGGCAGTTGAATACATGCTTCCTGATTTTTGCTGGTGGGTGTGGAAAGCTCCTGTTTGTAGGTTTGCAAAGCAGCGGACACAATGGGACCCGTTGTAGACACACAGCTTGCTGTAATATCCTTTATGCTTTCTCCTTGCTCATCGGGAAACTGGGATTCTTCCTCATCAGAAATTATGCCAAAGATGAACTCCATTTTATCTTCTCCCCTCTTCGATGGTGTGACTATCGCAGCCGCCGAAGTTGGCGTAGCGGACAGGGGCAAAGCAGTAGGATGAACTCCACCCGAGTTGAATACTCTCGTAGAAGAGGAGGTATCCAAGCTTTTCGATTTCTTTGACTTCTTCAAGCGATGACGCTCTTCCTTGGACAATTTCTCCAAGCTAATATCATTGGTGGTAGGAGTATTAGTGGCGCTTACGGTGGTGCTGTTATTGGTATCTGCCATATTCCTCAGTTTCTCGCGTTTCTTTTCCTTCCGCTCCTTGTGCTTTCTTCTATCACTGGCTAGAACCTCTAACGGAAGCGAAGCACTTTCAGTTTTGAGATCGTCAAAACTACCAAACTTTGTCTTGCACTCGGAGGATGAATGGACGTCAAAGATGGATGGCGTCGATGGAGTAACCAAAAGAGGAGTTGGTGGAGCCGATGTCTCCACTGTGGATGAAGACTTGAGGCGCCTCTTGCTCTTCTTGTGCTTTTTACGACTTTCTGGAGAGTAATCCTTGAGCTTTCCAGAATCAGAGTAGGCGTATGCTGAATTATAGAAATCTCCATACTCCTTCTTTATGTCCCTTTCTGGCTTCATCTTACGCTCCTCCATCGAGGAATTCGAATCATGACGGGACTTACACTTCTGTTCGCTGTCGGATATATGCTCTTGCTTGATTTCCTGGGCGGGAGCTGCGGGCTGCTCTTGCTTTATCGCCAAATCAGGAGCAGGCTGGGACTGTGACTCAGAATCGGAGGCAATCCTGGTGGAGTGCGAGTTCCTCTTTCCGAGATGGCTGTGCTTCATAACATTCCTTTTAATCTCATCTTCGGAACTATCATCACCATCACACAGTCTTCTCAGATTCTGCTGCATCTGATGCACCCTGTTAGCATCTGGCATGGAGCTGGCTCCCTGGTGGTCCTGATTTTCAAGCTCTGCATCCGAATCGGAGAAAATTCGTCGCTGGTGGCGCTCCTCATCTTCATCGTCATCGCTGCTGGATAGTCCAGGATAACGACCATGGAAACTGCTGCTGCCACTATTTCGATGGTGACGATCCTCAAACTCCGTGTCCGAGTCTCCATCATAGCTGGTGGAGCGCTTTTTCTTGGCACGAGACTGCTTTAGCTGCGAGAATTTGGCCTTTATCTTCTTTTCCTCCGCCTGACGTTGCATATTCTTGCAGCTCCTGGCTTTTACTTTATCGTACATTGAGACATTTGGACAATCGTCAGGGATGTCGAAGATGGAGTGCTTTTTGGAGGCATCATCGGTGTCGTCAGAGTCTGCGGAGCTCAACATCATTAGTTTGGCGCGGAGCGATTTTGACGAAGAGGTATGACCTTCATCGGATCCCCTAGAGCATTTCCGGTCGACACTTCGCCTGTGATGATGATGATTGGGCTTTCCACTTGAGGTGTTGGTCGCTGCTGAGCTGAGTTCTCCAGCGGATCCGCTTCCCGCCGCAGAGGTCCTCCTGTGAGGATTATGCTGCTGTGGTGTATGCTCTTCATCTGTGTTAGTGGATTCCGCCACAGAATGTCGCTTCTTGTCACGATGGTGATGATGATCCCTTTTACTTTTGTGCCTGGAGGATGTACTACTGCCATGATGGTGACTACTGGAGTGCTCCTTATCCTTCTCTCTTTTAGGTAGAGGATGCTGCTCCTCCTCACTTGTATTTATTTGCTGCTTGGCTTGGGAATTTGGATCCACCATTAGCTCCATGGATGGATTCGTTTCTGTGGAGCTAACACTGCTCTTCAAGTGATGCTTATCCCGGCGATGATGCTTGGACGATAAGGAGGAACTTCCTCCACTACCATGTGACTTAGAGTTGTGTGAACTACTAATTTTCTCCTCCTTGGAACTACTGCTCTTGTGGTCCTTGGAGTCCCGGCGGTCGCTACTATTATGATTTGATGTATTCTGGGAGTTCTCCATGCGTATGCGCTTCACATAATCGTCATGTTGATTCTGATGACTGGACCCTGCACATGCTCCGCCACCTCCGGCACTATGGTTGCTTTCTTGCGAGCTGAGGCGGCGCTTATGGAGGCGCACGGGAGAATTTCTGGATAACTTCCGCGAGCGATCTTTAGAGGCGTTGTCTGATGGAATCGGAGCAACTGCAGTCGGAGTAGCGGGAGCAGTGGCTTCCCCTGAGTTTTCCTTGTTGTGCTGACAATCGCTGGCGGCGGTTAAGGGCGTGTTGTTGGTATGGGAGTAAAAGCTGCTGGCTTCGGCGGTCGCCTCCACTTTGCTCTTGTGGTACGAGGAGAGCTCGCGCATCCTGCCCATACGAGCTTCTTGATCGGCATCCACGGCGCGTCGAGTTTGTTCCTTTTCTCGCTGCTCTCTTTCTCGATGCTCCTTCTCGCGGTGGAGCTCCTTTTCCCTCACCTCTTTTTCTCGAAGGTCTATCTCTCTCTGCTCCTTTTCACGCAGATCTTTTTCTCTGATCTCCTTTCCTTTTTGCTCCTTTTCGCGCTGTTCTCTTTCTCTAAGCTCTCGCTCTTCTCGTTCCTTCTTTTCCCGATCGTCTTGGACTTTTCTCTCCCGTTCCCGTTCCTTTTCTTTTTCCTCTTTGGCCTTACGATCCTCCCTCTCCTTTTCCTCGTGCAGGGCCTTGCGCTCCTTTTCCTCGCGCTCAAGTTGTTTACGCATATCCTTTTCTCGTTTTTCCTTTTCCTGACGCTCTTTTTTCTCTCGCTCGTGACGCTGTTCTTTTTCCGATTTCTCCGACTGCTCATCGGGCTCACTAGAGTCGTCTTCAATGCGGGGAGTAGCTGACTTTGAGGACTGCGAGGTGGACGAGTTCTTTCGCTTATCGGAGGACCCGGAGGATGATGAAGTTTTCTCCGACTTTTTGTTCTTCTTGTCGCTGTCCGATCGATTGTTGTGCTTGCTATGGGACTTGTCGTGACTGCTGCTGCTCTTCTTGGAACTAGAACTTGAGGATTGTGATGACAACGTAGCAGTCTTTTTCGACTGCTCTTCCTCAATGGTGATCGGCTGTGGTATCTTTTGTACATGTGTGGCCGCTGTGGCTGAGGAACTGTTACCGTTGGACGATGATGACGAAGTAGATGCAGATGCAGACGCAGGCGCAGACGATGTTGCTGATCCTGAGGATGAGATGCAGGTAGAGCTCACGTTGGTGCTCCCTGGAACTGAGGCAGATTTTTGGAGATGAACTTTAGCTGGCGACTGTTGGGGAGCATCTGGCACGCTTAAACTTTTGGTCAGATTGCTTCCAGAAGCCTGCCCAGCTGGTCTTGATTGTTTTGCCATTTCAGGAGGAGGTGGTGGTGCTGGCTGCACTGCTGGAGGTGGCGCAGCGGTATTTGGCAACGGCGGGTGACTGGGAAATGGGTACTGCAGTCCCTTGGTGGGTCCCGAATTGGCAACTGGTGAGGATGAAGGGGCGGTAGTTGCGCCACTGACTCCTCCACTCGATGCCCCCAGTGCTGTTGGCTTGGTCAGCTGTCCCAAATTCGCGGGTGTTGCTCCACCCACCGAAGGGGAGGGCGATGGACTGTTGTAAGGCGACATCGAAGCTTGAGGGGAGTTCATGGGCGATAAACTGCTAAGCCTTTGGAGCAATCCAGCAGTTTTGCTACTTGCCGAGTTGGCCAATACACCACCACAGTTTCCAATAATAGGAGTTGTCTTGGTTGCCGCGAGGTTGGGCAAGGCTGGCGAGGTGTTCCCGCTGCATGGGCCGCCAGGATGTCGGGATACACTAGGTCCCAATGAAGATCCTATCACGACATTGGCGGAACTCGAACCCAATGCGAAATCGGAGCCGGCTGGCTCGTACCACTGGTTTTTCTTCAACCTCTGAAAATCGTCATCAAAAATACTTTTCTTGGCCAGCAGGGATTTAACAATGTCTGAGGGTTGCAGCTCATCAATGTCCAGGAACTTATGCCGGGAATTACTTGTGGAGCTGGATACGGTTCCACTTGAACTGTTGCTGTTACCGGACCCCGAACTCGCTTGATGAGAATTCAGGCCGGTCCCTAAATTCAAGTGCATGGAGAGCTGCCAGGAGGGAGTGGCACTCGAGGGCGTGTGACCGGAACCATGTTCTCTGCTGCTTCCGCCAGACCATCGCTCGTAGTTTTCCTCAAAGTTACGAAGTCGTTCATCCAGTGAGGGACTTCCCCCTGCATTTTGGCCAGGTACATCCGAATCACTGGAGTTGGAACTCAGTGAGCGTGGTCGCGCTGGACTGGCCATCAAACCAGAGTTAGAGGACGACGACCCGTGCAATTGCTGCGACTGCTGCTGAAGATTATGCTGGTGGTGTTGGTGATGCGAGGAGGAACGCCAGTATCGCGAAGAGGGGCTGGGCAGAAATGCGGAGGCAGAACTGGAGCCCATTCCCTGGCTGGCGTTTAGACTAGAGTTGCTGAGGGAACATGCCGAGGTCGAAGGAGCTCCTAAGCCTCCCAACCCTCCGGAGGATCCTCCCCCCAATTGCTGCTGTAAGAAGCTGCTTCCCGTTCCGCATGCACTTCCTCTGGACTGCTGCTGTTGGAAAAATAGCACTCCGAACTTTGGCAGGGGTAGCCACATAATCTCCCGTACCCTTTCCCGCGCTCTTTCTCGTGGTGGGGGCAGGCGTCGTGGCTCTGTGGGCAGCACTTCAGGTCGCTCATCACACAGTGGCGTTCCAGGACGAGATCCATCCGCACTCTCTCCTCCGCTGGCCTCGTGTGAATGATGGGAATGTAGCTGATGACCCCTGCCTCTGGAAACATGATGATGATAGTCATCCGCCGGCGTGAGACTACTAATCCCGCCCAAACCAGGTCCACCAGAACTATTGCTGGTTGAGGATAAGCTGGGCTGCTGCATTGTAGTGGTCACTCGTCTCCTCTTAGCCGCCAACGAGGCGTTCATAATGTGCTGCTGATCCATACTGCTGGCTCCCACGAGTCCGTGGCGAAAAGCCGAGGAACTAGAAAGCGCCGACAGGGCTCCCACATCGATGGACGGGCGACGGCAGGTGAGCATCATGGATGGTGGAGCCGACGGCAAATGACCGGGAAACTTCATGCTGGGGGAACCACTAGGGGTCTCGGAGACCCGCCGAATTTCGCTCTTGCGGTTAAGGGGGTCGTGTATTACATCACAGTTGGACAGGGAGAGAGTGCTGGGTTTGTTGATGCTACTGTGCTCGCCAGTGGACTCCAGCTGAATAAAACAATTAGAATTAGTTTGCATATCCATTAGATCTGTTCCGGTTTTTAGCCTTAAAACTTGTTAATATGTCTTTTAAAAACCGTACTTCACTCAAATAAACAGTGTACTTACCCCGCTGGCATTGGAATGATGGTGGTGATGGTGGTAATCCATTTTTATGCGCTTACGCGGACTGACCACGCCCTCATCACCACTGGACGGGCATTCCTCAAGTTGCTCTGCCAAATGGAAACGGTGATTGTGCACGGAGTGCAAATCTTTGGGTGTCTTACCGCAACGTCTCCTGCTCAGGTTGTTGCTGCCAGATCCTGTGAATGCTGCTACCCCACACGCCGCTGCACTTGCTCCTCCACCAACTTGGGTGTTGCTTAACGTTCCATCAATGGATTCCCCACCGGCTCCTGCTGAGCCAGTCAAGCAATTTACAGCCGGACCCAGTCGACCGATTACCGGAGAGTCGGAGCGTACTTCCTCATCATGTATGGGATTTCCTGCACCTCCTGCAACCTCCTCAGAGTTTCGAAACCGGAGGCGACCCACATCGTTGAAGTCAAAATCGACGGTTTGTCGTGCGCTTCGAGCCAAACGATACCTTTGCGCCAGAGCCGCCGGCGATGCGGGCATCAAACTAGAGGATGAGCCCACCACCGAGGTCGTGGATGCAGTTGCAGGCGCCGCGCCCAAAGAGTTGCTACTGCTGGTTACTATGGCGGACGCCAAACTGGGAGCTGGCATCGCGTTGCACAGAGTGCTCCCGCTGATGCCAGTAGTGCTTTGGTTGCTTGTACTGCTTCCGATGCCGGTTCCACTGTTCGATCCCCCCGGCGTGTTGCTGGGCGAGCAGCTGTCGTTTGAGTTGTTCTGGTGGCGACTGAAGGATGATGCGCGGGATCTGGATTGCGACGACGAGGATGACGACTCATAGCGACTAAAGCGCGAGTTAGAGCCTGGAAGATAACATTGCATTAGTTTAAAGAATTATGGATACTGTTAAATGTATAGAACGAGCTCCAAAACTCGTTTAGCAAACTTACTAGCACTCTGTTGTTGCTGCTGCTTCTCTTGTTTGTCGTAAAAAGCATCCTGACACTCCCTCGACGCAAAATCCACTTGCAGCTTCCTGCCCCGCATGATCGTTCCGCGCATGTCTTTTACCGCGGCCTGGGCATTCTGCACCTGGTCGTATAAAACCAAGGCCAACTGTCTATTTCGATCGATGCTGACTTTGGTCACAGTTCCAAATCGCGTGAACTGTGACTGAAGAAAAGGCTCTGACACCTTCTCGGCCACGCCATCGATCCAGACGCAGTTGGTGGGCATGGATTTGCCGAAGCCCAGCTTGATGCGGTTACTGCCCAAGTGCTCGCCATCCATTTTGCGCATTGCCTTCACCACGGAAACAATGTCCGAGTACTGACAGAACGCGTAGGCGTTCAGGCCCTGCTTTTTGATATCGATCTCTATGATCTCACCAAAACCCTCAAAGTGCCCTCGAAGCTCGCCAGCGGTAATGTCCTTTTCCAGGTTCCCGATGAAGAGCGTCCTCGTAGATTTTGGATGGTACTCATCCAGCTCGGCTTCGTAGGGTCGGAACTCGTTGTCCTCGACATCGTAGCCCTGGTACGGTTCCACCTCAATCTTGCAGCCGAAGAAGTGTTTGTCATGGGATACCTCCAGTGCTTTTTCGACGTCATCCGGCTTTTTAAAGCAAACCAAAGCATAGCGCTCTGAGTTTTGTCCCACCACCTTGACCCACGTGACCTTGCCGTGCTTTTTGTACTCATGGAAGAGACCATCCTTAAGGGATGTGTCCGATGAACGGGCGGGAAGGTTGCGAACACGTATCGCCAGCGGCCGATTGTCTTCGGAATGCACCACGGGATTGGCCGTCAGACAGGAAGAGGATCCGCTGGAACTAGAGCTACTGCTCGAAGATGAACTGGAGCCACAGCCTCCGCCGCCGCCTGCGCTGCTGGCGGTGCCAGCATTGCCACTGGGATTTGAAGAGTTGCCTGCGGAGTTAAAATAAAGTTGGTAAATAATAGGCATCCATAGTCGGTTACTGGTATGCATATACTCACTGGTTACGGCGACGGATTGGAGACTACGCCCGCTACGCCCCTCCGCCATCGCACAATTGCCCGTGGATTGGACGGGGCTGGACGCGTGCGAGTGGGAGGAGGAGTGCGATGAGGAAGAGGAGCTGTGCGAACTGCTGTAGCTGCTCGGCGACCGCGAGTGCGAACGACTGGAGGAGGTTGTGCTGCGTCCGTGTAGGTTGTGCCGCGTCCGAATCGGATGCGTTGGCATCCCGTTGTCCACGGCGGCGGCCAGAGCAGCGGCTACATTTAGAATGTCACCGCTGGTAGCTGAGCCGGAGCCGGAATGGGAACCTGCTCCCGCTGCTGCTCCAGATCCTAATCCTACCGACCCTGCAGCTCCAGTTGCTTCAGATGCTATGGTGGGCATTAGTGGAGCTGCTGTGGCTATTGTATTATTTAAACTATTACTACTAAAACTATTGTTTGTGATTGTACTTGTCGTCTTCAATGGAGTAGCTCCTCCTGGCGATTCTGAACCAGAGCGTGCTCCTCCGCTGCCCGCTGCTCCCGCCCCTTTGAGTAGCTTATTGTGTTTGCTGCTGTGCAGGAGCATCTTGCGCGAGGTGGTCAGCGAGTCATCCGCAGCACTTCCCGCATAAGCCACGCTCCGATGCACGGCCGTGGTCTGCGATTGAATCTGTATCTGTCCTTGTGCGGGAGACGGGCAGAACCCTTCGGCTCCCCCCGCTGGGCTGCTGCTGTAGTGCGGGTGTTGAGGATTCTGAAGATGCAGATGCTGGTGCTGATGATGGTTGATCGGTGAGCTGCTCATTGCAAAGCCACTGGCTGATGAGACGCCGGCATTGCCACTGCCACCAGGACTTTTCAATTGGGCCGTCGTTGCAGCAGCGGCGGCTTCGTACCATGACTGAGGTGGTGCCACCCGCACGCTCTGCTGGTTCTGGTGGATATTGTGGCTGCTGCTCCGGTCGCCTAGCGCTTGCGGTGCCCCCCCAGCGCCTGTTCCTACCAATCCTCCAGCCACAGCTCCCCCGATCCAGATCCACCAGCTCCAGCTGTGCAGGCTGCTGTCGTCGTCGTCGTGTTGCTGCTGTTGCTGTGGATGTTGCTGCTGTTGCCGCTGCTGTTGATGCCACCGCTGTGACCGCTAGCAGAACCATTCCTGTACAGGCGATCTCGGTTGCGCGACCTCTCGGAGGATCCTCCTGCCGCCGATGCGGATACGGACACGGAAATTGAAGCGGAGGGGCTCACGGGTGAAGGACTGGAGTTAGAATTGGAGTTGCTCGCCTGATATTGACTGACTAAGCGGCTGCTGGGGCGATCGAAGTAGTTCCTTTCGTAGCTGTTTGTCGGTGGTTCCTCTGTAGACCTAGAATAGAAAGAATCCAAAAAAGGTTTCATAGTTATTTTAGCAATGCTTAGGATTGTCTTTATTACTAACATATGTATGTATATATAAAAAGTATTATTTTCGTATTTGTGCGAACCGAACGTGGTAGTACATTACATTGTTCATTATTACATAGCTCTCAGATAGCTTTTTCGGTATTACTTTTGTAATTTTTTTTTATATAAATCTTAAATATTATGTGCGTATTATTAACCAAAGGCATATTTTTCACGTTGCGATCACAGTTATCTAAACAATAATATAGTTGTTTATACCCAGATACTATATGCCAGAATATGAACGCACCTCCGCATAATATTATTTATCAGTTTTCGCTGGTAAAATCGTTGTCGTTGTAATCTTTTGCCGTTGGTCACGGGCGCGATTTTTTTGCACAGCCCAAGAAACGGGCGCCCTACTGTTTGGACCTATCATATCATCGGAAAAAGTAAAGTTCCACCAACTTTATGGATTTTTCACTTATTCGCTTCCGATATTTATGCACCATGTGGGATCGGCACTTAATGAACAATTTCACCCGGTCAAATAAAGAAACGGGCGCCCAAATATCAGAATACGACCCTATCCGACGATTTCTTCCTCTTTCTTTTCTTCGTATGCGTCTGTTTACGCGGCAACACAGACGCACAAACAAATAATTCACACACAGACGAGCTCGCATACACAACCACTGCCACGAAGGGGCACAAACACAGATGCAGAAAAAGCCGGGGCCACGTTCTTTTGCCTTGGTTGCTTTTTTTTGAAAGCCAACCGGTTTCTTATTTTCTGTACGAAAATTGTATTATTCTCCACTTTTGCAAGTTCTCTTTCAACGCGTTTCGCTTCTTATTTTAATAATTCGTTTGTCTGCTTCTGTTTCTTCTGATCACCGATTTCGCTTTGAGACGATATTCGCAAAATACGCAAGCTAACATTGTGCTGTTAGGCGCTCGATAACAACTGTTATGCATAATGCTGATCTATCGAAACCAAGTTGTACACTGACAGCTGTTCGAACTTCGAACCAAGACTAAAAACAGTTTTTAAACAATTTGTTATGTTCAGAAAAATATCAAATAAAAAATAAACTCCTTCAGAATTGCCGTAGTGCTGGCGTAACACCGTTGACAAAATTAATGATTTACCTGTTTTTCTTAAGCAAATAATCGATCCAATAAAAAAAAGGTTTTTAATTCCAAATTTTCCTAAAACGCAAGGCCGAATTTTTTTATGAAAAAGTATAACGCGAATAGTTTATTAATCCTTTTTATGACCATTTTAAAGGTTTTATTATTTTTATTAGACGTCAAAGTTAAAAAGAAACAAATTTTGTATTAAATAGGGTTGAGTATAGTAGAAGTTTATGTGCTTTACTTTAATGTGTTATTTGTCTTGTATTTGTATTTCTTATATTTATAATTATTAATAATTGTATAATAGTAGCCAATAAACAGTAAATTCTCTGACCCAGATTTTTCGGAGAGATAGTAAATACTACAAATTTTTCAGATCGACTGTTTGATCAAGAATATAATTTTACGTTTGGGCATAGTCAATTTGGTTATTTTTCGCGAGTGCGAAGGAGACAGAAATTGGAAGCAAACCCAGGTAAAAATTAAGCGTTATTTTTACCTGAGTTTCACGAGTAGCAGGCCAAAAACAATATCATTAAAGACTCAAAACCAACCCCGAATAAATAGGGGCGACTCACTTCAAAGACTGACTTTGGAATGGAACGAGGGTTCATCAGTTCATAATTTTCTCGTGAACGAAAAAGCAAAACAGGCCTGTCCTTTTCTTTTCTTGTTTTTTTTCTGGGTTTTCATTGTCAAGGAATGAGGTCGCAAGATTCTTTCTAAAACATGTACAATTCCCAAAGCAATAAAAACGGTAAGCACAACCTAGCCAACGAGCGCTTAAGCTTAGTGAAATGGTAAAACTCGTTGATCAACTCAACTTAGGATTAAAAATTGTTAAATATTTGTAACAAGTTACTTAACAATTTTTAAAATGGAGTATTAATAATTAGTCTCAGTTAGATGAAGTATATTTTCTTTAAGAAAATGTTAAAGTTTCTTTCGAATTAATTGGTTGTGCCCTATATAAAAGGTTAACAAATTCTTTCATTTTTTACCGCCGCTGTACATATATGTATAGGTATGCTATTTTTTTAAACTCCTAGGCGTCTGACAATAGAGAAAATTTAATTTAATTTCGATCGAAATCTGAATAATAAAACCAAATGCCAGACGTTTCTATACACCCCTCCAATTCATTAGACTTAGACAGCATAGAATTTACGCTAAGCAGGGTGAGTTCATCTCAATAACTATTTCGGGGAAGGTTTTTCACAGAAAACTTGTACAACCTCAGGGAGACGAAGAAATATAATCATACGATCGTCTATCGATCGGATCAGGTCAACGGCGTCTGCTGTTCGCTTAATGCTAATCTGTTTTGCAGATAAGGGTTGACATCATACCCTAATAGGCCCCTTTTTTCGGATCAGTTTTCGGGGATGGAACATGGAAAAGCTTTGAGTCTCTTAGAAAAACATCTGTAATATCAGTAGCAATAAATTATAATCTTCTCTAATTTGCTATCAGTTTTTAAATACTTTTTCGTAACATTCCTCTTTGGGTAAGGTTTTAAGATTGCATGATTTTAACACCGCTCTGCGGAAAACATTTTTTTGAGATATATTGTAAATTTAATTTAAAAAAATAGTTCTGTTTTCAAAAAAATACATGAAAAAGTCGCAAGGCAACTCACGTTTCCATCCCCCATATAATTCCCAAACTAGTGAGTTGAAGCCATCTTAGTTATCCTGGCAAAACTACGCTTTTGTAAAGCCGCATTAAGCGCTTTAAGCAGCAGCTCTTAAAATATGTCCATATACAACCGCCAGCAGCCAGCAAGCAGTTTGAAATGTACATATGTGTGTTTATTGTATACATACCACTGATATATAAAAGGGGAGTGGGTGAAGGTGGGATGTGAATGCTGCAGTTTTAAGCTCTCTGCAGAGGTCACAGCTTTTGGCTGGCAGCAACAGAGGCATTGACTGCGGCAGCAGAAGGAGCGGACTTGGCAGACCAAGTGACTATGGTGCTTATGGCGTGGGGTATGACTCAGGCGGGTGTCACTTAAATATGGTACAACACGCACTGGACTTAAGGAAAATATATATTTTTTTAAATTTTAAAACGACGTAATAAGAACGTTTTAAATATATTTTTTTAATAATTTCATTGTAATTTTCAATATTTTGAGATGTTTGTGCCGGGATTTCGGGTAAAACTGACAAAGCTATGGCGATTTTGTCAAACCGATTGTTCTAAAAATTTTGACATTATTTCTGTACAAAAATCAACAGGTAATCACAATGCGTTTGTTTTAATATTCGCAAAAAAAAAAAAAACATTTTTTAATTAAAAAAAAGGTTTCCTAAATATCAGGGGAGTTCTATTACCTTTAAAACTCAATAAGATCTATATTTTTGAGATTAACCTGTGATGCCCTAAAATGCTGAAAACCAAATTTTTTCAAAGGGGCGCCGATGACTGCCACGCCCCTGTGTTTTGTTTTTGGGTGGAATTTTCTTAAAATGACAATAATACAAATTATAAAAAACATTGTGCACACTTAAAAACAAATGCACAAATTAGCTTGTCGAAGCTTGCTTTTCATTTGTTGTTTTTAGTAGCATTACACCAAATGCAATGTTACAGTGACTACTGTATGTGAAAACTTATCTAGGCGAGTGTAGTTTAAGGGAAATGCAATTCAGAGTTTGAAGAGAAAAATGGGCTGAAAAGACTGGGGAGAGAAGAAACGATTGCCCGGCATGCGCAGTTGGGGCCATCGGAAAAATCAATTCAGCTAAAAGTGCTCCCGGTTCGGGGAATTGCATGGCTTCACAAACCAAAACAACAACAACGACATCCCCACCAGCACATTACTTTGCAACATTTGTTGCGTCCAGGAGAGGAGGGGATGGGCTTAGGAGGTAGTCGAAGGGTGTTGGCTTGTGGCCAGTCCAAGTAACGCTGCAGCCAAAGCCACCGACACAGCCCCAAAGGTGGGAGGACATTTTTGGGCGTCTGTAAATTACATTACTGCCGTGTATTCATCGCAATTGTGTGTGTTATACCGCTTATGTATTACAGGGGCAAGAAGAAGAAACGCGCAAAAATGGCTAAAACGTTGGTGCAAAACAAAAGAGAACACGTGTAATATTTTATATTATATATTTTCGCAATTATGTAAATAAGTTTTATGGAAAATACTTGTAATCGAAAATGTATGACAGTAATATTTTATTAATATGTATTTCGGTGATAGAAAAATAAAGACGGTATATCAATTAAATCCTTTTTAGTGTATATTAAACACACATATCAAACACACATATAATTAAAGTTTAAAAAATTAAAAAAACCATTTATATAGGTGAATTTTTTGAGGCTCAATATTTTATTTTGATACGGATACACGGACAGTGTATTCACGGTTGGTTGGACAGCCCCCGCAGGTCGCTCTGTCTTTTTCCTGGCAAAAGTTTCTCACTAAACGTCCTTGTTTGAGGTTATTTCTGTGTATATTTGGATGGGCCTCGTATGTATAGGGTGGGGCAAAAGAAGGGGAGTCTAAAAGGATGCCAAGTACATACATAGCCAGCCGGATACGCTCGCATCCACTCATACACACTCGCTCAAGTTGTAACACAAGAGTTTAAGTTCCTTAAATCCTTCCTTTTTTAGCATTTTGTTCAATCATTGCCGGGCGGAGTGGGGTTTCCCTCCAAATTCGTCACTGACTGCAGACAAAGTAATTTTAGCAGGATCTCATTCCCTGGCTGCGTCTCCTGTAGGGCGTAAAATTTATCAACATTAGGGAACTGGCAGGAGGAGCATGGAAAAATGATAGGACAGAAGATACCGAAACATCAGCACTAGCCTACCAGGTCCCAAAAG